AGGTTACAGAGCTCAGACAAGGTCACAATTTATGCTGACATATGCTAAATGAAGAAAGTGAGCTCCTGCACCTCCACCTCAGTCTCTGTTGCCTGCCTTACTGTCTCAGGGCTGCTTTGGCAGTGGCAGAAACCCTTCCTGAGAGCCATGTGGAAATGGACTGACCAGCTTGTAAGGCTGTATCTGAGGGCTTCTGGAATGGAGAGGTTTCAGGGGACCATGAAGAAGTGTATTGCCAACCCCTGTTCAGAAGGGAATGCCAAGGCGTAGGCCTGGAAAGCTGTGGAGCTGTTTACGATGACAACCAGGAAGGAGGCTGGGAAGCAAAGGCCTGACTTGCCGAGCCTTTGGTCCCTGGGTGCTCGTCTGTCCTTAGCATACTGTGTGACACCAGAGCCTCTGTTTCCAAGTTATCACTGGCTGATTCATTGCTTCAGCCCATTTCACTGTAAAGATTTAAAAACTGAAGTGCACTTTTAGCTTCTGGGAACTTGCGCCTAGCCAAGCAGGATTAAGAGACAAAGCAGAAAAACTCCCCAACCCCAGGCTGGTTTTAGGACAGACCAGTCCAATTATAAGGAGAGAAGCAAGTCCTGGACATAGGACCTTTAGGATTTTTAAAATTGTTTTTTGAGGCATTTTTGTTTCTTCATTTAAACATTCTTTTAATAACTTTGTTTCTAATTACAAAAGTAATGCATATTCAATGTTAAGACACTTGGAAAACAGAACAACACGGAAAAAAAGTCCTGTGTGTCTGGCCACCATCTGGAGACAGCCACTGCTAACAGTTCAGCATAGGCCCTTTCTTTGCACACATACCCACAAATGTATATGCATACACACTTACATGTTTTTAACAAACTTCTACCATGCTGTGCAGATAGGAAATAGCCTGCTTCTCACTAATAATAAGCATGAATATTTCTCAAATCAACATTGGTCTTAATGGCTACACGGTGTTCTCTTAGGTCATATTCTGGACATCTGGATTATTTTTAATTGTTTGCTATTAAATATCCTTGTTACATCCATCTTAGCACCTTTCTCTGCTTTAGGGATCGAATCTTAGAAGTGGAATTGTTAGAGTAATGCGTCTGTGCACATTTTTAAGGCTTTTCCCTTCTGACAGGTGTTACCATTCACACTCCTACCAGCAGAAGGATGTGCCCGTTTCCTTATACTCAGGATAGCATAAACTTTTGTATTCATTTTTGCTTATTTTTTCCTTTTCCTTGGGAGTTTTTGAGGAACAGAATCAGAGGACTCCAGCAATCCTGGCTAACTCTCTGGTTGAGACCTTGGTATATCCCTTTTTTTCTGGACAGAGCGGTACCCTCAAGACGGCCCTACTGGACTACATCAAACGCTGCCGCCCCGGGGACAGTGAGAAGCACAACATGATTGCCCTGTGCTTCAGCATGTGCCGGGAGATCGGGGAGAACCACGAGGCAGCCGCCTGCATCCAACTGAAGTTGATTGAGTCTCAGCCCTGGGGTGAGCAGAGGTCACACCAGGACCCCTGGGGCAGTGCTGCTGGCCAGAGAAGGTTCTTAGGGCTAAGGAGGGCAGCAGCCCATGAGATTGACTAATACCCACCTCAGCTTCTGACATTCAGTGGGGCCCCAGTGGGGCAGACAGGAGGTCAAAGGGGCCTTGGAAGGCATCTACCCCTCTTGCGCATCCAGGGGTGTCATCTGTTAGGAACCAACACGTATGTTGATGCCATGAAAGCCTGCCTTGATGTTTCAGAGAGAAACGAGCTAGACGGGGTAGTGAATCCTACTCCAGAGTTGTGTGTACTTTTGGCCCAGTAGCCTTTACCTCAGTGAGACATGCCTGCCTCCCTGGGTACATGAGCTGGATGAGCTGGGAGGTTTCTACAGTCTAGCCCATCACTCAGTGGGATGAGATTGAGTAGCCAGCTTTGGGTGAGTCATGGGTGAGTCAGACACACTAAGCAAGTTTCCTTTACTCTCCTGCAGAGGACAGCCTCAAGGACGGGCACCAGCTGAAGCAGCTGCTGCTGAAGGCCCTGACGCTGATGCTGGATGCAGCAGAGAGTTATGCCAAGGTAACCATGAGAGTCCTATTCCAGGCTGGCCTTGGGGCTTGGTGTCTGTAGTAGGAATAACTTAATTTTGTTCTGATGCTGGAGGGTTTACAGAGGAGATGATGGCAACAAAATCTTTACCTGTGCCTACCTCCACCCTCATCCCTCAGGACTCCTGTGTGCGACAGGCCCTGCACTGTCACCGGCTCACCAAGTTGATAACACTGCAGATTCACTTTCTGAACACTGGCCAGAACACGATGCTCATCAACCTGGGCCGCCACAGGCTGATGGACTGTATCTTGGCCCTTCCTCGGTTCTACCAGGTGAGGAAGAAAAGCTAGCCAGTGCTGCCAGCATCCTCTCTCCTGCTGTCCCTCTCATGGGACTGAGAGGCTGAATAACTTGCCTGAGGTCTCAGGGCTAATGGCAGAACAGTCCAGTCCAGCTCTCCTAACTTGGCTGATACACCAAACTGCCTTTTCAGGGTAGTATTTACCAGTGTACTGTTCAGGCGGTGGCTAGAGAACAGAGACAGTACTGTCTCCTTTCCCCACATTGTTAAGCCAGCAGAGAAACAGACACCTTTGCACTTAGATAGCTGAGGTTCAGGGGAACATCACTGCCTGAGGCCCTGCGAGCATCTTTCAGATCCAACATTCCTGGAGGGGTCAGCACTCCTGGGCGGCTCGTTCTAGCCCTTTCAAGAGGAGGGATGGTTACCAGGGAATCAGCCCTTCCACTGTTCCTCAGAGCTGAGTTAGTGGGAAAAATACTCTTCCTCAGTAGTTCTTTTAACCCTTTGTGAGGAAAACTAAAAACACTGAAGGAAGGTGTTTGGTGTTTAAGAGGGGAGATGTCAGACTAACACCAATCCTGATACACAGAGGCTTTTAACATGATCGGTAATGATCACGTTCACTCGCATGAGTATACAGTATTCAGTTTTCCAGAACAGTTTGCCTTCAGTTTTTCATCAGATAAACTCTAATGGTGTCCTTCCCCTTCATCCTTTTAAGGCTGCTATTGTGGCTGAGGCCTATGACTTTGTTCCTGATTGGGCTGAAATTCTATACCAACAAGTGATTCTTAAAGGAGACTTTAACTACCTGGAAGAATTTAAGCAACAAAGGTTATTGAGATCCAGTATATTTGAAGAGATTTCAATAAAGTAAGTATTAAAATGCCTCTGCTTTGAGCTGAGGCACGGGCAAGAATTTTATGGCTAAGTATAACATGCCTATAGGTACCCTTCTGCTTGAGATGGCAAAGAGATGTCACAGAGATGTCAAGAATCCCCAGAAGGAGGGGATCTTTTTACCAGATTTATGCCGAAAATCCCCAGAAAGAAGGGATCTTTTAAAAAATTTATGCAGATGAATGAGAGTAGTTGGCTTATAGTGCTCTGTACTTAAAATGGGAAGCCAGCTACTCAGCTTGCCTGAGATGCCAAAAACTCTGAACATCAGGGTACTGGAGTACTGAATTTATTCTAATTAAGGTGAGCATTCAAATACTCATTTTTAATGAAATAATTTCAATGTTTATCAAATACCTCTAATTAATAATAGTCTGAGATAATTTCCCAGACTCAAGCTCCCTCTCCTTATAGGTTGTGGTATGTGTCAGATGACAGTCCTTGCTCAAGATACAGTATCTTAACCTGTACATTCTTGTATTTCTTTGTCTAGATGTAAACATCATCAGCCTACCGACTTGGTTGTGAAAAATCTGAAGAAGTTATTCACGTATTGTGAAGATGTCTACTTATATTACAAGCTGGCATATGAACACAAATTTTGTGACGTTGTAAATGTGCTTCTGAAGGACCCTCAGACAGGTTGCTGTCTAAAGGATATGCTAGCAGGTTAGATGGATTCAGCTGACAAGAGTGGTTGCTCCCAAGGATACACAAACTGCCTGTTATCTTGCACTGTAATCAGGTACTGACAGGTGATTTGTGACCAGAGAAGAATAACGCACTGGGGATCTTTGATGTGTGATAGTAAAACCCCAGGAATGACCATAGCAGTCCTTTGTGAATAGTGGGTAAAGAATGAGAAAATTTCCATAAAGAAATTCCCATTTAAAAATGATGTTCATCTATACCATTTTATATGGATACTGGTATTAAGCTCAAAAGCTCCAGCTTCCTCAGGATAGAGCCTACTTTAGGAAATGATAACAGTATTTAGTAAAGAATACCTGTGCCTGCAGATTCCAGTTTCAAAGGAATTTAATATTATTTACACAGTTAAGGAACAGATGATACATTTCCATTTGTTAGAAACTGATCTCTATAGTAAAATAGATTTTTTAATTCAGTGTATGTCATTATTACTGCTAAGGAAATCTTAGCCCTTTTCTGCCTTAAAACAACCTGTATTGGCTGTAATTATTGCTGTGTAGTCACTGCTTTCTGTTAATTCCTCAAATCATTTAGATGGTCCTATCTTCCACTTGGCGGTCTACAGAGCTTTGATTGATGCTCCTAGTTCCTATATAAGAGAAATTTGAAATATTTTTGCTCTGTCCCCACTTTTGAGTCTGTGATGGTTTCAAAAAGACTCCAACCACAGATATGGTTAAACTGCTTAAAAGAAAATGTATAATAGAGAAGAATCACCCAGTCCATGCTTACAGCCATAACCTGAGTTATAAGCTCAATTACTCCAAATAAATAATAGTTCTTCTAGGTACTTAATTAGGCCTTAGTATCTAAACAACCAAATTTCCCCAAATAAATAAGAGAAAGGCAGCTCTATGCCTTTGTTGCTCTAGGGTGACACTATTAAGAACCTGGCAGATCATTTCTGTTTTAAAGCTACATCCACTCATCAAGTACTCATCAAGTACTTATTAAGCTTTGTAAGTACAGAGAGAACTCTAGTCCCAAGAGCTTTTGTTCTATACTCTCCAAAAATATCTCTTGGGAGGTAACACAAAATTTAAGTCCTCACAATAGTGACTTTATTAAATTAGTTGCTTTATAAAACATTGCAGATGTCATTAATTGTTAACATAACAATTTACCAAACTGTAGTTAACTGGTGCAGTTTGCTGAGCATGTTTTATAAAGGAAAGGAAATGCCAAAACCCTGTTAAAGTTGTTCCATTACAGCCCAGGAGAACAAAGGAGATTTGTTTCTCAGACACTTAAATCAGGCAAGTAAAACAGGTAAAGAGCTTCCCTCCCCCATCTGAAGCATTCCATCAGCAGAATAGTCTGATAAATAGAAACTAGACAGTCTGTGCATTCAAGAGATTCCACAACTTGCAATGCAATAATGGAAAGGTTTACCTTCTTCAGCTTCGAAGTTGGAGGGTTTTGGTCATTTAATTTTTAAGTATCAAACTAGTGCTTTTCAGCCGCCGTGTCTTCACTCTGAGATAAGCAGTCTTCTTCACAATGTATTTTTAATATCCTCACGCTCAATTTTAAGACAAAGCAATTTTAATACTAGGTGCACACCACACGCCCTTGCTGCAGACTGCTTTTCTTGACAAGTTATGAAGTAGTTCAAGGAGGTATGGTTAAGGCTGTATTACTGAAATGGTGCTGGTAAATACTACACAATTTTTTTCGTCATGTTGCAACCTTTGTTTCCAATTTAGTGACTGCTGCTATGGAATCAGATAGCAACAATGACAACATTATTAGGCTTGTTTTTTTGTTTGTTTTTTTTTAAACTATGATTTAGTAGCAACAGAGGTTCCCAATTTTAACCCCTTGGCAGCAAGATCCAAGTTCCCTCATTCGCACAGTAGCACCTAAGTGTCAAGGGGTTAAATAACCAGCACAAAAGATACTGCACTTCTGATTGTAGCATTTGGCAGAACTGAAAGAAAAGGAAGTTGTGCTACATGTTGAAGGGATTGTGGGCAACAGAAAGAAGACACCGGGAGAAGATAAAATGTCACATGAAGTCTTCATAGTCTTGTACATATCCTCCATCATAACCACCATAATCTGCCAGATCGTCTTTCATGGTGGCCTTTAATCCCCCTCCAGGAACTACACCTTTCTTCTTCTTTTTGGCTTTGCTTTGCTGAAGATAAAACAAGAGTTAATTCATGAGACTTGATCTACCATGGGCATCTTATTTGGTATAGCAACCCTCACCAAGACACCAAAGCTTCTGGTCCCAGAAAAACCTTAGTTCTCTAGAGGGGAATCCCAAAGCTAACTCAGGGCAACTTCTTCTATTAATTCAGGGAAGAACATGAACATGTTCATAAACAAAAGGACGGTAATGGCACTCACACGGCTGTTCTAGTCCAGTATAAATGGTACTGGTGAATTACTTGACTTCTGTCCAGTTTCTTAGGTCAGACTCCTACTACGCTTGTTGAGAATATTATGCCTACACCTTAATCCTCGTGTAATACACATTTCCCACACAGCTTGCTCTTACCTTTTCTTGCTTCTGTTTTTCACTGCAAAGCACAGTCAATGAATTGGTAATCTTTTTCAAGTCATCTATTTCCACTAAGAAGGAAAAAAAACTAATTTTTAAGCATTCTGGGGAATATATAAAAGCAAAATATACATTTTTCCAGTGTTATGAGAAATCTAGTTTGTCCAACATTAATTTCAATAACTTTGAGAAGGCTTTCTCTTGTTTAACATAATATGGTAGAGACTCACTCATTTCTATGGCTAGGCTCGCTAATGAGAACTGTTTATAGTAAAATGGCAAACTCAGCAACAAAAATTTAACTTTATAATGACCTGTAATCACCTAGACACCACTGCTCAACCACAGAGAAACTGGAAGTGTCTTTATAGCTCACAATGCTCCCTTTTTCCTTATCCAGTCTAAACACGCAGAGAATACCCATCCTGAGTTATGGAAATAACACATCCTTGATGTTCAGTGACGACTGTGTGAATGAACATGGAATGACAATTCTTAAACCTCCCCATCCCTTCGGGTCGTCCATTTTCTAGCACAGGAACGAGAATAAAAATCGTAGGTATCTCAGAAATCTAAGTGCCCTACCAGGAAACGAAGCCTGTTTAGTGGACAACACGTAAAAATACAAAGCTGGAAACAGACATGAATGAGATTTTAGCTACCAAAAAAAGCACTCAGTTTTGGTTAAGAGCACCTTCAAGAAAAGGAAAAATAGCATATGGAAAATAAAATACCAACTTATGTATATCACTGATCAAATCAGAACTCCTAGTTTAGCAATAATTTCTCAAAGAAAAACCCAATTTAAAATTCATTGTGTAGAATTTTTTTTCCCTCAATCTTAAAAACAGTAAATACTAGCAAAACCAACCCCTTCCACCTTAATGCTATGCCACCCCTGGTTGTCACTCTCACATACCCTGCTCCTGAAATGTATGACTCTTCTCCGGGCATGAAACTAAACCCACGGACTCAGAATGGGTGGCGAGCAACTTGCACCTCGTCACAGGCTTCCTTGTTTATAAAATGAACAGACACTCGCTGTGGTCTCACTCAGCTCTAAAATTCTGTATGCCCAGAAATCATTTTCCCCCTAAAATACTTCCCTACTCTCTTTTAATACATAATTAGATAAAGGAAGAAGTTGGTGTTTTATTAGCTGTTGTGCCAACAAACACAGATGTCTCTTTGGGAAGCCGTTGTAAAAAAACATTTAGAAGGCAGCCTCAAAAACCAAAAACAAACCCAGGACATATTTCACAGAACTAGAACAAATCATAATAAAATTTATATATTTAAAGGAAAAAAAAACAAACAAAACCACTCAAACTCACTGTATATTTGCACAACAACACTCCCAAGATAACTGCTAAAAAGCAAATCCTAAATATATTCTAGCACCCCCTGCCCCGCCCCAGGTCAATCTCCATCCTCATGTGTATGACATGCCCTTACTAAAAGCCATCCACAGGGGCAAAAGATTAGAATTACTTACATGAAATACACACATCTCGAACTAAGGCTTCCAAAAAACTGGCATAGTATAGTGACTTTTCATATTGTGTAATTTTATCTTTTAGTAACTTTCCAAACTCTGTGAAGTCATCTCTTGAAGATGGGTTCATAGCATCTATTCCATAAACTGTATTATTAACACCTGTAGGAGAAAGGGAACACTGAAAACATCAGAAAGATTTTTTTTTTAATTTATAAACCAATTAGCTATCTGAATAACCCTGTTATTTCATTTTAAAGCAGAGGTTCTTGATCTGGACCCACTGAAATACTTGGACAAAAATTCAAGTGATCTGTACATAACTGCTGTATCATAGCTTATTTCAGTATTTTGATACTTATTTCAATATAACAAGTTTCCTCTGTAAGCAAAATCCTGTGTATTTTATGTATTTAAGAAGGGGCCCAAAGACTTCCCAGACTGCCAAAGGAGTCCCTGGTGCAAAAGGGATGCTCTTAAAGCATTTGTCCAAGAACAGTCCACAGTAAAATTGAGACAGAAGAATCAAAGTAAATAAAGATGGTTCCTGTGAAAGTTTCCAGCTAACTAACTCCAGAAGCTAAGCACAGATAAACCATGTGTTAAATTCCCCCGGGGTAAACCATGTATTAAACCCCAATAGAAAACTTTATCTGACCTAAAAGGATTCTAGGCTGCGACACTGTGCTTCCATATACTCCTAAATAGTCAAGTAAATCAGTTGTTAACAGTATTATTAATTCAGTGTTTTAGTATGAGAAACACAACATTAAAATCCTACTAACCAGGAAGCAGGGGAGGTGGTGTGAGGTATAGCTCAGTAGCAGAGTGCATGCTTAGCACTCATGAGGTTCTAGGTTCAATCCCTAGTACCTCCATAAAAATAATAAGAAGTAAATAAACCTAATTACACCCCCAAAATCCTATTAACCAAATGATGACTGTACGAATATATGTTTTTGCCTTTTAATTGTGGTGTCCTGTCTTAGAATTTATGGATACCACATCCACATAAGTCTTTCTCTTTAATAAACACATGGGTGGCTTCTACCATCCTATGAAGACAGGATAATGGCCAAGTGCCCTCTTTAA